CCCCCAGGGCGGCTCACCAGTCCTTGACCACAATGGCCGGCTGAGTGGTGTCCAGCAGCTCCTCCCAGTAGCCCTCAGCCTGCAGGTCAATGACCTGCGCTTTGCGACACCACCTGGGGAGAGTGAGTTAGGGGGGAGTGGAGGCCCCTTCTCCCCCTTCCCGCCCACCCCGCTTCTCCTTACTCGAAGGAGGAGGCGAAGAACTTCTTGACGCTCTCGTCGTGGACGAATTCCATCCCACAGTCTCCGGGCAGCTCCTCCACCCTCCAGCCGTCCCCGCCGTGCTCCACGTCGCACCAGCCCTCCAAGTCCTCTGCGGGAACAGGACAGCCCCACCCTCGTCACCCGGTCCCCGCCGAGGGTGTGACAGCGCTGGCTCTGGCCCCTGAATCAGGTGCTGGGCCAACTGGTACAGTGGGGTTGGATGGCAGGCACTTCCTGTTTGTCCCAGATTCTCTCTCCCCCCTGGGAGGGTCGTGGAAGAACCTGGGAAAGAGCCCCCCGCCCAGCCCCCCGGGAGCAGAGTTTATTGGGGCTCTTCTGTGCTGGGCATTGTGCCTCGCGCTTTATCTCAGCGAACCCTCCGAGCAGGCGGGCAGTGTATGTGGCCCATTTTCCGGGGGAGCAAACTGAGCCCCCCAGCCACAGGCTCATACAGCCTGACCCTCACCTTCCCCGCACGGGTTTCGCAGCAAGTTGCGCCGCCTCTTGCTCAGGAAGTAGAACTGCTGCCAGTGGTCACGCTCGTCCTCCGAGCCGCCCTCCGGCACCAGCCCCTCCTGCTGGCACTTGAGCAGCCACAGGGGGGCGCCGTCCACCAGCTCCTTCCAGCGCAGGCACACCAGGCGGCAGGCCTGCACCAGCTCGGCGGCCGGCAGCTCGGCCAGCACGCGCAGCAGCAGCGGCTCGGGCAGCTCGTCCAGGTACGCCGTCTCCTCCTCCTCCCCGCCGCTCGCCTCCGGGACGCACACGCACCCCTCCTCCTGCTGCTCATCCGAGCTCGCCTCCTCGGGCTGGCCCATGCTCTCTGCGGGGATGAAGGGGTGAGGAGGTGGTGACTCCCCCCTAGACTGTCCCCTTGCACGCCCCAGTACCCAGATGTGGCAGGTATCCGCCCCCACCCACCCTCGGACAATCGGCAACTGGGGCCAGAGATCCTGAGACCAGAAACGGGTGCCCAGTGGAGGAGCCCCCTGGGGACCTCCCTGGGGACCAGGGCCACAGGCCAGCATCAAGTACAAAGAGCCGCCTCAGAGGCCTCAGTTTCCCCTGCAGAGCCAGTACACCCCATACCTGCGCAGATAACAGCAACTGATATGAACAGGATTGCCTCACGTTTCACTTTCACATATGAACTTCTTTAATCCTTCCAACCACCTCTGAGATCTCTGCTCCTGTCACCTCCTCATGGAAGCCCTCTTGGATTTACCCCCTGATATATCCTCTCACCCCCAGAGTTCCAGTCCTTCCCAGGTTTGGTCCTAGTGTGTGATGGCTTATAAAACACCTTTCTTAGGACTAGACTGAGGACATGAGGGCAGGAACAAGGTCTGGGAAACTCACTGCTTCATCCCGTGCCTGGCATCTGGCACAGTCAGCAGCTAATGTTTATTGGGCACTTAGCAAGTAAGTATAGGCCCTTTTTGAGCATTTTAAGTTCATTTACTCTTTTTTTTAAAAAAAATATAGTTTTTATTGATTTCATAGAGGAAGGGAAAGGGAGAGAGAGTTAGAAACCTCAATGATGAGAGAGTATCGTGGATCGGCTGCCTCCGGCACGCCCCCTACTGGGGATCGAGCCTGCAACCCAGGCGTGTGCCCTTGATGGGAATCGAACCCGGGACCCTTTAGTCCGCAGGCTGACGCTCTATCCATTGAGCCAAACCGGCCAGGGCCATTTACTCTTTATAGCCCCAAGCATCTCTGAGGTTTTTTCCTATTGTTGTCCCGGATTCACTGATGAGGAACTCAGGCACAGAGAAGTGAAACAGCTGAGGACCACACTGTGGTTGGAGCCTGGATTTGAAGCCAGGCAGCCTGGCCCCAGAGCTACCTTTAACCATCACACATCAAAAACATAATTCATTGAATTAGGAGGCACTATCTTGATTTTGATTCTGTAGGTGAAATTGCTCAGGCTCAGAGATGTGGAGTAACTTGCCAACGGTCACCCTGCTAGTATTAGGGAGGGGACATTGGAATCCGAGGCCCAAGGGGAAGGGGACAGGAATCTTTGAATTGGGAATGGGGGCAGGGGGGCTCATTAAAAGAGATCATGTGAGTGTGAGTGTGTGTGTGTGTGTGTGTGTGTGTGTGTGTGTGTGTGTCAAACAGGGAGATGTAATAAGTGTTTGTTTGGGATAGGAAGGTTTTTCTCACTTCTGGCCCTCAGTTTTCTCATCTATAAAATGGGAATGCCAGGCCATTCAGACAGTGTTGATGTTCAAGCCCCCTGAGGAGGGGCAAGGGCATTCTCGGTGGACAGATCTCAGGAGCTGCAGCCTGGACTATCTCCGGGATCCCAGCCGGCCCCAGCTAGGCCATTGAAGCCTTGAGTAAGCAGATACCAAGTGCCCAGTGTCTCTGGAGGAGGGAGAGACAGTGGGGAGGAAATGGGGCCACTCTGGGTGATGGGGGGGCAGCTTTCCAACTTAGGATGGGGGGTTCCTAAGGGCTGAACCCTGAAAAGCCAAGCACTGGGGGAGGGAACAGGCAGGGCCTGGACCCGAGACTGGGTGTTGCCCAACCTACCAGCCCTCTACCTCCTCACATGCAGAATTTTCCCCCTCCCCACAGTCAGACCCTTGATAACTGAATCAGGGTTTACCTCTTCAGAGCTCAGAGCACACAGTGAGTCCTCAGTAGATCTTATTTAGTGAATCTTATTATTCCCTTCATTATTAGCTTTTTGTTTGTTTGTTTTTTTGCCACATCTTTATGACATGGGGCTTTACCGCCTTCCTTTTGGCGAAGAGGAAAACTAAGGCCCAGAGACACTTCCTGGGTTTGCCCAAGTCACACTGCAGAAGAGCGGTCAGTCAGAGAGGAAAATGCCAGGCCCTGAAGCCATATCACCTGCCCATCCTGCTGCCCACAGCTCTCTGGGGAGCAGGGCCCGGTGTCCTCACCTCTCCACCCCTGCCCTGGCCCTGGTGGACACCTGATGCTCCCCGGAAAGGTGCACCTTGCCCAGTCCCCTCTCCTGGCCCCAGGCCTGGCACTTGAGGCCCCAGATCTGATTACGGCCCCCCATCCCCCGCTCGGGCACACACAACTCCCCACATTGTTGCTGTCGGAAAGTTATCTGGGCCCTGGAAACTGCCTCCAAGGCTGATTCATGCACCTGGATTGGGCCCTGGAGTCCAGGGAATAGATGGGCCCTGAGAAAAAGCAGGAGCCCATTCTGGGGCCCCGTACAGGGTGTGGCAAGGGGGCCCGAGGATTGGGAGTGGGAGCTGAAGGCGCTGGGATTTTCAGGGCTGGGAGGTGGGGGCTGGGCGACCTGAGCAGGCATCAGTCTGTTTCCCATGGCCTCCCCCAAGCAGTGCCCACTCCCAGATGGGCCTGCTGAGGAAGGGGTTGGGGGGGGGGGCGCGGGGGAGTCTGCTCACTCCCACCCTGACTCAGCCGGCAACCCCTCCAGGCCCAGCCAGCTCAAAGCATGAGGAGGGGGGGTCTTGGTGCCAGACAAGATGACGGGGCAGTCTCAGAAGGCCCTGAGCATTGGCAAGAGCTGGTGCTCCAACCTCCCTCACTGCTGGCCTGGTCCCCACTGGGCAACTGGCCACCCAGATGAAGGATGGCCCCTCCAGACAAGGGAACCCAGGAGGAAGGCTGGGATGGGGTGGGGAGAGGCTGGTAACCCCAAGATATCCATGGGGATTCAGGCAGCTCACCGGCCAGAGCTGGCAAATGGAAGAAGTTGATGGAAGAAGAGGGCTTGCAGCCTCTTGCATCCCAGATGCGTCCCAGGCCCCAGCCCTATAGACCTCGGAAAGCCGGAGGTGGGAACGTGGGATTTCGCCTCTGCTGTCTCTGGGGTAAATGGGACCAGGAGTCCTCCCTCCCTGCTGTCACCTCTCGAGGCCTCCAGCCAAACCAAGATACCAGACAGAGGACTGCACTCCAGAGACAGTCTCAAGGACTTTCTTAGGTAAAAGTTTGCGGCGCTGGGTTTGGGCTGCCCACCTCCGCGGACTGCACTCTAGAGACGGTCTCAAGGACTTTCTTAGGTAAAAGTTTGCGACGCTGGGTTTGGGCTGCCCACCTCCCCACCGCTACCCCGCATCTCTCCAGCGCTCGCCCGCCGGTCCCGGTCTCCCCTCCCAGACTGAGCGCGTGGGCCCGGCTACCTGGGTCCCCGTCTCCGTCCATCGCTGCGGAGGGCGATCCCGAGGGAAGGA